GTACTAAAAAGGTAAAAGAAACATCGAGAAGTTTAAAGAAAAATTTTACAGCTGACACTTCCGTTTATAGCACTTCTTATTTTCATTCATTTTGTTTATGAATCACTTTTAATCTTTCACATTATCTTCTTGCTTTTCTAATTCTTTTGTTTCATTTAGTCTGAAGCGTCCTTACAAAACTGGATCTAAGTGACGTTTTGAAAGCCCATGGTTCTGGTGTTATGGACGCATTCCCTGAAGCCTTATCACTCCTCTGCCGTTAGGCTTGGGACTGTGGAAAATGAATGAAAACATAGGTTATCGATCATGCTAAATCACTTAGTAACGTTGAACGAACAAAGTGCAGCAATCGAGTGAAAACCTATACTAGGTGAAATAACCCATTTCTGATTACTTTCATTAAAAATTAAAAAAGCTATAACTCAGTCAGTATCCATCAAACTAACGTCAAAATGTCAGAAAATACTCTTTTTTATCTGGAGCATACCGTAAAGCTCAATAAATGTTCAAAAAACCAACGGAAAATACTTTGATTTCTAGACAGGTTTCCAGAAACCTTCGGAACTAAATATATTTTATATTTTATATTTTTCTGGAATATTTTTTATTGATTTTACGTCCGGAATCAGAATGAGCGGATAAAAAACAGTATTTTCTGACATTCTGACGTTAATTTGATGGATACTGCTATATCAAATATGTAGATTTTTTATTCATTCACAATAAATGAAGCAAAAGAATTAGAAAAGCAAGAAGATAATGTGAAAGATTAAAAGTGATTGATTCATAAACAAAATGAATGAAAATAAGAAGTGCTATAAACGGAAGTGTCAGCTGTAAAATTTTTCTTTAAACTTCTCGATGTTTCTTTTACCTTTTTAGTACTTCAACTCGTAGAAGACTTCTGCAACAAACATGAAATGAAAACAAACATCAAATATCATTCTAGTCTGAACAGACTGCTACTCGTATGTTATTTTAATAAAACTGAGGCATTCTTGTGATATACAAATTTTAGTGCAACAATTAGGTTTTGTGACTGAAATCTAAATAGAAACAAGGCTAAACATGGGTAGCGTTGAAGAACTATATAGAAAAACGGTTTCAAATTGTTTTGTAACAAAAATACGGTGACAAGAGCTATATTTTGAGAAGGTACAGCTTAAATTTAGAGTCTAAACAAAATCCCGCAAGAACTGCTTAATGGCTAATAAGAAAAAAAGTCTATACTAAGACCATGTCGACATTGAGAAAAGCTTAGACGTATCAATTTTTTTGATCGCCAAATTTTCCAGTATGAATCTCACATTTTTATTTCTCAACAAAGTATACTGTACAACACGCACATATTTATTGAAATATTAACCAAATGAACAATATTTTCACACTTTTATTTATATCTATTTACAAATTTAAAGCTGTGCTAACTTTCTTTGAATTTATCCCCTCACCTACCCTCACCAGAGAGTTTCAGAGTTTAGAAATTTTAATGCTTTCATGAATACTAGTTATAATCTTTAGTAATTTTCAGGTAAGTTTTGACATGACGCTGATTTATCGGCTGTCTGTAATTGTTGAATAAAAATATTCGTTTCATTTACCGCTAAAGAACGACAATAGAATGTAGCTTCTTTTAATGCATCATATCGAGGATCGTCATCTGCTAGTAATGTATAAACTGGTTGTAAATGATAAGAGACAGGTTGTGGGTAGTCTTTAATTGTATAAAGCCACTGATCTAATTTGAAATGTGGTCCTCCTAAATCGGATTGTTGTTGTAAACCACCGATCAATGTAAATCGAGGTCTTGTATACTGTTGAAATATTTTATCAATATATGATGTATATGATTCACTGTTATCAGTTACTTTAAAAAACCATAGAAAACGTTTTTCGGATTGTGTTTTAATCCATGTTTCATTGTATCTAATTAATAAACATGATTCAAAATATGTTTCAGATGACATAAGTCCGCCCATTTCAGAACGAGTAACATAATGTGTACCGTATGAATTAAAAAAAGATTTCCATTTAGCTAAGTTTCGTACTGATCTGGAATTGAATGTGAACGGTAAATTGTTTATTGCTAATCGCGTTAATTCACTTAAGTTCGGTGTTGGAAAATCACTTATAGCCAACGTGTAAGACGTGATTTGTTGTCGTGTCCATGCCATATGAGAATGATATTTAAAAAATTGATGATACTTCTGAATGATTTCAGTTCGTGTATGTGATGCTGCAAAACCAAAGAACAGATCCCAATCGTTAGTCATAACATAAATTGAATTTTGCCAAAATTCTTGAAATCTATCATAAAATGACGTTTTATACGTTGATGTTGTATCACGTGTATTTAGTACAAAAAAGTTATCAGGCACTTTATATGTTGTAAAATTATTAAATGCATCAATCCATATACTGTTATCATTCACTGTCAAATCAAAAAGACATGTTTTACTTTGTAATGTAAATATATCATAACCACAGCCAACTATATCTATACCAGGTATCATTAATCGCTTCTCAATCGTACGTCGTCGTCGTTGCTCTTGTTGTATTTGGTTTTGTTGTTTAATTCGAAATTCTTTCACTTGTTCTAATTTTGGTAATGTAGAATATGTCAAATAGTAATCAATGGTCAACTGTAAATGATCCTGAATTTTAACTGGATAGTTAATTAACAGATTAGCTAAACTAGATAATGTTCGATTTATTACACCTGGATATTTTGATGCCAAATCGATCCATGTGTGCCAT